GAGGGGGAGACTCTCGAAGAGCCTCTCTATCATCTCCGCTAGACTCTTGCTTACAGTGTGGACCACTTTGCAAAAGTAGTTTTCGAGATTGTTTGCTCGACTTTTGGCGTGTGCATCTGTGTTGTTTAGATCTGGAGGTAACATTGCGGTTGGGGCTTGTGTATAGAGGTGTGTGTGTGTGTGTGTGTGTTGGAGAGATTAGGGGGGAGACTCTCGAAGAGCCTCTCTATCATCTCCGCTAGACTCTTGCTTACAGTGTGGACCACTTTGCAAAAGTAGTTTTCGAGATTGTTTGCTCGACTTTTGGCGTGTGCATCTGTGTTGTTTAGATCTGGAGGTAACATTGCGGTTGGGGCTTGTGTATAGAGGTGTGTGTGTGTGTGTGTGTGTTGGAGAGATTAGGACGAGACTTGAATATTTATGAGCTTTGCTTGAAACTGACTCGCTGTGTTTACTTGCCTCTTTGTTCCATACCCCTCCCTCCCCTTTCTACACTCACTCACACACATACATACACACACACAGACACACAGACACACATACACATACATAAGTAGATTTTTAAAAATCCATTACATGTGAAACATTTTCTAATTCCTTCTTTTTCGGGGCGATTTTTTAAATAGAAACTAGTTGCACAGATGAAGCAAGATCCACAGGTAAATGCAGATCTATTTTTTTAATTAAAAAAATCCCAGCTTCTTCAGTATTTTAGCTCTGCTGTAATAAGTGCAGTTCTGCTGGGACAGGAGGATAAGAAACTTTATCAGTAAGAGATCTCATTTTGAAGAGCGGGCTGAGCTTTATTAGTTAAAGGGGTTATTAGAGATATATATTTATTTTCCCCTCTCTTCTTATTGTGCATGCTTTTCGTTGGGTTTTTTTCCTCTCTGAACCATTCCGAGACGCAAGTTTAGTTTTAACTGGCTTTAGTTTACACTTGTTTTTTAAAATCTCCATTTTATTGCCATTTTTACAGAACGGTGATCTTAAGAAACCAATCCATGAGAGGCAATCGAGAATAACAGCTCTTAATGAAAAACAAGTAAGAATGAATTGATTCAGTTATCTGTCTGTGGATTGTTTTCCCCTCTTTTCTTCTTTTTCTCTAATGCACTTTCTGAACATTCTAAGACTCCCGTGAGCTGAAAAATGCCGACATGTGAATAAAACACTCATGTTTACTAAAGATAGCCTGAAGTGAGAAAATGCTTTAAAGATTAAAGGTCCAGCCCTCTTTTCTGCCTTGCTTCAAAATATGTTTATATTCATAATCATAATGCACAAAAAGAGATCAGCAGTAGTGAGAACGTTTTTTAATATTAAAACACACACATTCTCTCTCTCACTCTCACACACACACACACACACTGAGGCGTCCATTTTGAGTTGGTCGACATGTTTTAGGAATATGAGAAATTCTTTGGTCTTTTGCTAGTTTGCTTTTACTTCCTTGCAATGTGGAAGAGCAAAGTGTGGCGAATGACGGGACGGAGAGGAACCCACTTTGAAAGCCTTAATCTCTGGTTTCGGTTGGAAAACTGATTTTCTTTCTGTATGGCTAGAGATCTTTCTCTCCCCCCCTCCCCCCATCCACACACAGTTGGCGTTTTTCGCTTTCTTTGGCTTGATCTGACGTGCTAGCTTTGGAGTCGAGTTCATGGAGGGACTTTTTAAGTGCACACAGACACGTCCCCTCCTCCCCCCCCCCGCATGCCCATCTCGTTAGGCAAATCCGAGTAGGGAAAAAGTGAAGCCTGATAAAGATCGCTTTTCTTCTCTCGCCCTTTTCCAAAGAAACTTTTTTTTTAAGGCGTGTGTGTCATCTGTGTAAGTCAGCCTCTGCTGTGGCAGCGATTATGCACGGGATGCAGTTATTGGACTCATCATCTCCACCCCATCTCTTCAGCTTCCTCCTCACCCACACACACACAGAGAGAGAGAGAGAGAGAGAGAGAGAGAGAGACGGGAAAGTTGTCTTGCATTGTCGAGTTTTGTGTTCCCCGGAGCCGCGGAGGGAAAGGGCTCCCTTTTCAGCACCACGAACAGATGCCATGGAACGCTCGGCGGCTCCGCGTGTTATCTTGGGAGCTTTCCGACCGCATACGCGCGCACACGCCTGCATATATACGCAGGCACCACAGCA